AATATTAAAATAATAACTTAAATCATCATAAGTTGTAACCTAAAACTTAATAACTGTCATTAGTATTTTTAAATAATCAAACAGATATAAACCATATCATCACGTTTCTCTTGAGTAAAACWTATTAATGTATTTAACACTAATAATGAAAATAATATTATTGATCAATGTTCTGTGATAATTGAACCTTTTATCATTGCAAAAATATGTTCTAATTATATAATAGTTTATTTGACATTTACATAATATGTAACGTACCCATCTTTTCTTCTGGCCTTGTAGACATGACCATAAGTACCTCTTCCAACTTTACACCCTTCATAGTCAAACAGCTCCTCCACTTTAGCTCTTTCATTGCCYGTTTTAATTTTGAACTCATAATCCATTGAACTACAATCTTCCAATGAACCAAAACACAATGTTTATGTTAAGGCAAATTCGTGAGACAAATTATTAAGCTGTTCACCTACAACATAAACATTAAATTGTGCTTAACTATATATTAATATTATATTTAAGACATACAAGTCCATTTATTTATTTTTTCCAATTATTATTTAAACACGCCTASACAGAACACTCATAATTGTTGCAACAGTCAACTCAACAGCGACAATAAAGAACTATCCAGTAATGAGTCAATAGTCAATGGTGCAGAGGAATTATCGAAGTAGTTTTCAATTTAAAAAAAAACGATCACAATATTACAAACGTTTAAACAGCCAATATGAAAATCATTATGATTTTAGAATTTTAGATTTATGAATTATTATTATGTCTATCGTCTGATGATTGTTTTCTTTTAAATTTTATGAATTTTTAACAACAATGAAACATACACAAACTTTATGCTGATAACAGAGGCCGGATCGGTGCAGCCAACGTAACGAACMTAACAGGATATATAAGACGTGATAAAAGGTTAGGTAATTAAAATTCGTGCCCACGGGCCACGATTAGCACAATATGAATAATTAAATAGAATATAAAATCGTGATAAACCTTAAAATCCTAAGGACATAATTTAAAATTGTATATTATGCAATAATAATTAATGTATAATTTAGCGTATATTATCTAAGTAATAATCTAATAAGACTTAAKAGGACGTCACATACTCACATCTGCATGTGTTGCTCAGTAGATCACGTTTATCTCCGTTAGTTTAAAATTTAGATGAGTGAATTGACCAAAAATTAAAGGCAAGATTATTATGTAGGGCATCTCATGGGCKTTTTAATATATTTTAATTTTAAAGCGAGTAATGAGTATTTTTAGGTACCTATACAAACAATTTTGAATTTTAAAATATTCAGAACTCGCATTAAAATAAAAATATAATAAAAAGCCCATAAGATGCCCTAAATAATAATCTTACCCTTAATTTTTATAATGAGTTTATTCACACTAAATTTTAAACTAATGGAGATAACGTGATCTGCTGAGCGTAAAATTTGCAATGTTACGCACTTGTACGACGGAGACAACACAAGTGGGTGTGGCGTCCTCTGAATATAAAATTATATAAATACTTTAAATATTTTAAATCTTGGTAAAACAAAGGAAATGCCCAATTTTAGTTAAAATTATTCTGATTCGAAACTAAATCAATAATACTTTTAATATATTATAAT